TCGGCCCGGCGCTCGACGCCCCTCTGGGCTCCCTTCCCCGCTAGCAGCCCCCTCCCCCAGCCGCGTCCCCTCCCCCGCACCCCGTGTCCGGCCAAGCCCGCGGCCGACAGCCCGGAGTCCCGAAGCCCCGGCCCGGTACCTGGTCAGACATGGTGACGGTGGCTTCCCCGGGGGTCTCCGCACCGCAGCGGCCTCCGGCAGGCTGAACCTCACTCTGAGGTTTACAAATCTGTCTCTTCCCCACAGCACAACACCGCGGCTGCAGGGACTTCCGCTACGTCTCGCGTCACTTCCGCTGCGCGCAGAGGAGCGTTTGGGAAGACGGGAAAAGGAGGCGGGAAAAGGCCTTGGGGGAAGGCCGGGGGCCGTCCGACCTGCAAATCTGCTTGCCTGGAGCGAGAGAATTGGGTGTACGGCCGGCGGGAGAACCTGGCCCGCTACCTCAGCCCCTCGGGACACCAGGGCTTCGCCACCCCAGGCTGAATGTCCGGGGTCAAACTGACGCCGTAGACTCCTCCCTCTCGGACACCTTGCGCGCTTGAGGGCCGAGCCTAGATTGGTCTTTGTCTCCTCCCAACCTTCCGTCTGCCCCTAAGTACAGTGAGTTCCCGGTAAATACTTTCACTACCTCCTCTTGCTTGCTGCCGGTGCACTCAGGACTTCGATTTAAAAAACCACAACGAAAAGACGATCCCTTAGGACACACCTTTTGTTGTTTTGTTTTTTGAGGCAGGGTCTATCTAACTACGCAGCCCTGGCTGTTCCAGAACTCAACCATGTACATCAGGCTGGCCTCGAACTCACAAGATCCTCCTGCCTCTGCCCCCAGCTCTAGGACACAAGTTTTGAGGGCTATAGATGTCGAAAATATTGTTGAAAGTTTTGAAGTTGTAGGCAGAAGGAGCTACCCTCAACCCATTAATTAGTTGTCTTTCGTCACAGAAAGACTTAAAATTCTTTGACTACTATAACCTTCTTGACAGCATTCAGTGAGGATTAAGAATAATCCCAGCACTCGGGAGGTAGAGGCCGGTGGATCCCTGTGAGTTCGAGGCCAGCCTGGTCTACAAGAGCTAATTCCAGGACAGGCTTGATAGCTACAGCAAAACCCTGTCTCGAAAAACAAAACAAAACAAAAAGAATATATAAGTAAAGGGAATAAAATTGAAAGTACTAAGATAAATCAATAACCTTTCGCACTACAAGACATTAGTAAAAGAATCCTTTCTATAGTTAGCAATGAGGTAATTAGAGATGTCCCAGCGGTCAAAGAACACTTGGTTGTTCTTCCAGAGAACTCCGGTTTGATTCCCAACTCCCACATACTCATTCACAACTACCTGTAATTCCAATCCCAGAGAATCCAATGCCTTTTTCTGGCTTTGGTCAGCACCAAGCCAGGCCTGCACATATGGCATAGACATGCATGCAGACAAAAACACCCATACACATTAAACATTTAAACATTAATAATATAATTAGTAATGAGACTACTGAACATTCAGATGCAAAAGAAGGAATTTGAAATCCCTATCTCACTGCAAATACAAAATTAAAATGTCTCAAAGGTGTGTGTATATAAGACTGCCTTAGTTAGGATTTCTATTGCTGCGATGAAATGCTATGACCAAAAATCAAATTCGGGAGTAAAGAGTTTATTTGGCTTACACTTCCACACTGCAGTCCATCACTGAAGGAAGTCAGCACAGGAACTCAGACAGGGAGGAACCTTGAAGCAGGAAGTGATGCAGGGGCCATGGAGAGGTGCTGCTTACTGGCTAGCTCTCTAAGGCTTGCTCAGCCTTTCTTATAGAACCCAGGACCATCAGCCCAGGGGTAGCCCACCCACAATGGACTGGGCTCTTCTACATCAATCACTAATTCAGAAAATATCCTACAAGCTTGTCTGCAACCTGATCTTATGGAGGCATTTTCTTTTTTTGTTTTTGATTTTTTTTTTCGAGGCAGGGTTTCACTGTGTAGCCCTGGCTGTTCTAGAACTTGCTCTGTAGGCCAGGATGGCCTCAGGAGGATCACAGAGAGCCTCTTCCTCCTGAGTGATGGGATTGAAGTATTTTCTTAATTGAGGGCCCCTCATCTCTGATAACTTTAGCTCCTGTAAAGTTGACATAAAACTATCCAGCACAAAGACCTAAAAGTAAAACTCTTAGGAGAGAATATAAACAAATCTTTATGACTTATATTTGTTGATTTTGCTTTTGGAGGCAGGGTGTTTATATTTGGCCCAGGCTGTCCTGGAACCTCAGCTCTCGGTGTGTTGGCCTCCCAAGTACTAGAATTTCAAGTTTCCACGACCCCACCCAGCTTGGATTAGATCAATGGTGGACTTCCAGGTATGACACCAAAAGCAGAAATAATCAAAGGAAAATTGAAAATCTGGAGTTCATCAAAAGTTTAACTTTTGCTGTTCAAAAGACAGCAAAAAGAATGAAATATTTGAAAATAATACATTTGCCAAAGACCTAAAATCAAAATATATAGAGAAATTTATTACAACTCAGCAATAAAAAGAAAAACCAATTTAAAAATGACCAATAGAGCAATCACTTAGCACATATTGGAAGGATACAGCAAAGATTATTATAGCCCCTGTGCAAGGCTGACATGAAAATCTGTGAAGCATTACATAGTTTTTATGCTGAGGCCATCCCCATGCTGTAGGCCTCTATCAAGAACATGAAGTGAGAGGTCACCCTGACTTGTCCAGCATCTTGCCACCAAAGCACTTCAGAGAGCTTTGTCTTTGACTTGCTTTGATGGTGAGTGTTCTCCCAGCATCCACAGCCCTAAGAAACAGTGTCTGGTCTGTTAATGATGACAATAAAGCAGACTCTGATTTTCTTTTTGGAAACTGTCCTGAGCCGGGCACTCAAGTTAATCCCAGCACTCAAGATTGAGGCCAGCCTGGTCTACAGAGCAAGTTCCAGGACAGGCTCCAAAGCTACACAGAGAAACCCCGCCCTGAAAAACCAAATAAATAAATGAAAGTAAAAACTGTCCTGTGGGCGTAGGTATTATTTTCTCAATGAAAATGCACAAATGGCTATGAAAAGATGCTCAACATCACCTGCCATCACTAGCCAAAAGGACAAGTGGGCTCGGTGTGCAGGCCTTGGCCTATATTAGTGCCAGCCTATGCTGTATAAGGAGAACTTGTCTTGGGGAAAAACCAGCAATGACAACAGGGACTAAAGCATGTGCAGAGGTCTGGGTTTGATCTCAAACACTGCAAAAAAAATTTTTTTTAAAGAAAATTACAAAGAGATACCACTTTATACCCACTGAGATGGCTAACTGTATAAAAGATGATAACCAGTAGTGGAAAGCCTGTGGAGAAATTGAAACACACATACACAGGAAGTAGAAATATCTTTAAACTGTGAAACGTAACCATATGACCTAGCAATTCTTCTCCCACATACTCAAGAGATGCAAACACACAGCCACACAAAAACAAGTGCACAAAGGTTCACACAACTTTATTCATAACAGCTGATTGTCGAGTAATAAATGGATGATTTAATCTTAGGTAGATGGAGAGATGGCTTAGTGGTGAAGAGCACCGGCTGCTCTTCCAGTGGACCCAGGTTTGATTGCCAGCACCTACATGGGAGATAACAACCATGTAACTCCAGTTCCAAAGGATCCACTATCTTCCGGCCTCTACAAGCATTATACACACAGAGTAAACATACACATGCAGACAAAACACACACATAAAATAAATTTTTAAGAAAAGCATGCAACAAAGACTTTTCATATATATGTGTTCATGTTCAGTAAGATAGCTTATTGGGTAAAGGTGCTTGTTACCAACTCAGAGGATGTAAGTTTGATCTCTAGGACCAACGTGGGAAAAGGAGAAAAACAATTTCCTCAGGTTATCTGTAGACAACAGGAACATTCCTTTACATTGTGTGAACATGTGTCACTGTGATTGGTTCAATAAAAAGATCAATGGCCTTTAGCTAGGCAGGAAGAGGTCAGACAGGTCTTGTGGAAAAGAAAGGCAGAGTTGTTGGCCAGGCACAAAGGAAACAAAATAGGCAAATGGAGATGAGGTAACGAGCGTGTGGAAGAATGCAGCTTAAAAAATATTAATTTGAATTTTAAGAGCTAGTTAAAAACAAGCTTAAAGTCAAGCTTTCTCTCTCTCTCTCTCTTTTCTTTCTTTTTTTTTTTTTTCGGTTTTTGGAGACAGGGTTTCTCTGTAGCTTTGGGCCTGTCCCAGAACTAGCTCTTGGAAACCAGGCTGGCCTTGAACTCACAGAGATCCACCTGCCTCTGCCTCCCGAGTGCTGGAATTAAAGGTGTGTGCCACCACCACCCAACAAGCCAAGCTTTCATAATTAATAATAAGCCTCTGTGTCTTTTATTATGAGCCGGAGGCCCAAAAGAAAAATCTGTCTACATTTGTCTTCTGAACTTCACATATACATGTGCACATACATAAATAAATATAATTTTTAAAAAAAACCTTAATATGATGGAATATTATTGGGGTTATAAAAAGTGAAGTGCTTATACATGCTGCACTATGGATGAACTTTGACTCACTATGCAGAGTGAAAGAAGGCAACTCCCAAACATAATTCAATTATATGACATGTTCTGATAGTCGAGTCAATGACGACAGATAGTAGATGACTGAGACTGCACTGTACCAGCCTCTTACCAGGGCCAGAGACTAAGGAGCAAGTAGAGAACAACACAGTCTCACTATGTAACCCATGCAAAATACAGGATCAGGGGCCAGCTGAGTGATTCAGCAGGACTTGCAAATGTAACAACTTAAGTTTGATCCCTGGGACCCACATGGTAGAAAGAGAGAACTGACTCCTACCTGTTTGCTCCGGCTTCCATACATAGGCCATGCTCCATGCATGCCCACACACTTATAAATAAATGTAATTTAAAATTTCTTGGGTGGGGCTGGAGAGATGGCTCAGAGGTTAAGAGCATTGCCTGCTCTTCCAAAGGTCCTGAGTTCAATTCCTGGCAACCACATGGTGGCTCACAACCATCTGTAATGGGATCTGGTGCCCTCTTCTGGCCTGCAGGCATGCACACAGACAGAATATTGTATACATAATAAATAAATATTTTAAAAAATAAATAAATAAAATAAAATTTCTTGGGTGGGTGGGCTGGAGAGATGGCTCAGCGGTTAAGAGCACTGCCTGCTCTTCCAAAGGTCCTGAGTTTAATTCCTGGCAACCACATGGTGGCTCACAAAACACAGCATGTGGGCTGGAGAGGTGGCTCAGAGGTTAAGAGCACTGCCTGCTCTTCCAAAGGTCCTGAGTTCAATTCCCAGCAACCACATGATGGCTCACAACCATCTGTAATGGGGTCTGGTGCCCTCTTCTAGCCTGCAGGCATACACACAGACAGAATATTGTATACATCATAAATAAATAAATATTTAAAAAAACACAGCATGTAAAATAAATAAATCTTTTTTTAAAAAAACATAAAATTTCTTACAATAATGTAAGTTAGATTCAATGGAAAGGGAAGAGGAGACAAGAAAGAAAATGAGGTAGATGGATATGTTCAAAGTACATTAAAAACATATATGGAAATGTTCCAATTAAGCCTATTTGCACAATTAATATATGATGTTTTATAAATCTAAAAGATTGCTTGTTCAACAGGAGTTTTTGCTTTCATTTTGGTTTGTTCCATTTTGAGACAGACTCCCACTATGTAGTCCTAGCTGGCCTGGAATTTACAATGTAGAGGAATGCATATGCAAAGATCTACCTGCCTCTTCCTCCTGAGTACTGACTGGGGTTTAAGGGACTTGTTACCATGCCTGGCTGCTTGTTTGTATTTTGGAACATGTTCTCATTATATAGCCTTTAGTTGACTTCAGATTCATGATAGAGATAAGTTATCCTCAAACTTGTAGAAACCATCCTGCCTTCCTCCACCTCTCAAGTGCTAGAATTAGGTGTGCTCTACGATGTCCAGAAAAACAAATCCATTAACAGTATCTATACTACAGACTGAAGGGTGTTTATTGGTGAGCACTGACTACTAAGCAAGGCAGGCTTTGAAAAGACTAACGCTTTGTTTGCAACTATGTAAGAAGAGTGTATCTGCAGCTGTTGTGTTTTTAACTATGGATTTGCAAGCAATCCCAAAGTCCTCATTTATGCCCTTGGTTAGCTCTGCCTTAAAAGCACAAAACAGGTCTGATCCCTGCGGGGTCTCCTCCCAACATCCAATTGTTTATCCCACCTGCCTCAAGCTCAGACCCAATCTTTTGTGTTTTTTCAGAAATAGCCACCATACTAAGTAAAAATGGCTGTATTTCTTCACAAAGAATATTCAAATGATGTCATTTAGTATTGAAACTTAACAAAATTAATGTTGGAATTTCTTGCTGGCGTTTTAACAAATTACCACAAACCGTGACTGGAATCTGAAGTCTGTAATGCTTGCTATTTTAGGGAAGAACTAAATTGGTAGGGAAAGCAACAGGAACTGGTAGAAGGAAACAAGTTTATTAAAAAGCTAGCTCTGGCAGTCAGGCGGTGGTGGCACATGACTTTAATCTCAGCATTTGAGAGGCAGAGGCAAGCAGATCTTTGAGAGTTCAGGGCCAGACTGGTCTACAGAGCAAGTTCCAGGACAGCCAAAGTCATTACACAGAGAAACCCTGTCTCAAAAAGCAAAAAACAAAACAAAACAAAACAAAACAAAAGCCACCTCTGAGGCAGGCAGTGGTGGAACACACCTTTAATCATTTAATTCCAGCATTTAGGAGGCAGAGGTAGGCAGATCTCTGAGTTTGAGGACAGCCTGGTCTACAGAGTGAATTCCAGGGCAATCAGATCTATTACAGAAGGAAACAATCTCAGAAAGAAAAACAACAACATCAAAAAAGTCATCTCTGTAGCCAGGTTTGGAGGTGAGGTGGTACATGCCTACTTTCAATTTCTCTGCGGAATCTCAAAATGGAAACACAGCAGTAGTAAGCTTTCATATTCTGAACAAGAGAGAGAAAAGAAAGATTTAGAAGTCATTAGCATCTCAGAGTTACTGAATGACAGATCATCTTCCTGTTACTTGTCCATTACTGTAACACACACCTGAAATAATCAACTTATAAGAAGAAAAGGTTTAGCCAGGGGTGGTGGCTCATACCTTTATTCTCAGCACTTCGGAGGCAGAGGCAGACACATCTCTAAATCTAAGACCAACTTGGTCTACAGAGAAAGTTCTAGAGCAGTCAAAACTACAGAGAAATCCTGTCCCCCCCCCCCCAAAAAAAGTTATTTGTTTGTTTGTTTCTTTTTTAGGCAGGGTTTCTCTGTGTGGTCCTGGCAGTCCTGGAACTCACTTTGTAGACCAGGCCGGCCTCAAACTAAGAGATCCTCCTGCTTTTGCCACCCAAGAGCTGGGATTAAAGGTGTGCACCCCCTTCGGTGGTCTGAACAGGTTAATTTTGACTCATGGTTTCAGAGGGTCTAGTCCATGGTCAGTTGCACATTCTGCTTGCTTTTGAGCTGAGGTGAGGTCGCACAACATCATGGACTCATGTAGAACCAACCATTTGACTAAAAAACCAGGAAAAAAGGAGGGACTTGGTTCCCACTTTCACTTAAGGACCTCTCCTTAAAACT